TTTTTTTTTTTTTTTTTTTTTTTTTTTTTTTTTTTTTTTTTTTTTTTCTCCAGAGCTTTCCTTTGGTGTTCTTCAGTAGGTTGAATGTGGTATCTTTGAGGATGAGGAAGAAGAAGAAGAGGTCAGCTGACATCTGATTTTGGACACTAGATCAGACACTGTGGTTACAAACAGGCAGGAACAAGAATCTGTTTAACACGTCCCTCCGGAGTAAACGTTTTCCAGTAGTTATTTCAGAGGCAATTTAAGCTTTTGTAACGTGAGCTGTTACTGGATCCTCCTAACTTAGCACAGACGTTCTGCCCACATTGCTAACTTGGAATCTTAGCTTTGCTCGCTGGCAGTCAGAATGTGCTGAGGAGGGACCAACGGCTTTGAGCCAGCACATGGTAGATTTCATTAACAACAGTCATCGATACAACCATGCTTAGTAGCTTTTGCCAACTCACCTCCTTTAAGGCATTGGTTTTTCATGTTGGGAAACTGAGGCATAACTTGACATGTGACTACAATGTATGAGTTTTTGAAGTGACTTGGCCCATGAGGTTAGCAAATATTCCCTGAATGTTTCACACATGTCTGTTGTAGACATTTCAAGAGTAGCTATGGGCAAGGACATCTGAGCCCTCAGCCCTAAAGCGCTTCAGTAGTTAGGAGAGGTTAAATGGAAGCACCACAGCAAATAATCCTTTAAAAAGAGTAGTGAGTACCCTGAGGGAAACAACATGCAAGTAGAAACCCTTCACCTCTGGTTGACCAGAGAATCTCCTTGGGGCTTGGGGATAGTCATAAAGAGTCTCTGAATTCTAAGAAACAGATGAAGCAAATCTATCCAGTGGATGAGAGAGAAGTCAATAGCTAGTGGAGAGAATGCCCTGAGGCAGTCTGTTAGCACCCGAATCATGGAGGGAGGTGGTGGTGGATTTATTATAGGCCTTGATGGCACCAGTTGCCTATCTTGGACCTGCTAGTAAGATAAGGCATTGCATTTGGTAGGATGTACTTGCTTAGTTGTGTCAAGAACATGAAGAAGTTTATAAGGTAGTGTGAGCCTTCAATGGCATTATCCCCATAGGCAGATATGTGTGACAAGTAGGGTTCACCTCTGCTCTCTGCAACCTGTGACATTTGGACTACAATGACCAGTGACCATAGATAGGTACATCAGCCTTGGGGAGGGAATGTTATAACGCAACTCACAGCTCACTCTTATCCAAACTGTGTCTGAATTCTCATGCTTTTGCTCATGTACTCAATATTGCCCAGGCCTTGCCTGCATCCTTGACTGTATCTGCTCATGTTCCACCATGCCTCAGAAGCAGAGAGTCCAATAAAGAAAGCATTGTCCCACTACTGAATCCTGTCACCTCAGTCACTGGATGCAGTCAAGGCTCCAGGCCCTAACCTAGAAACAGGAACATTGCCCACTCCTCTTTGGATATCTTTGGATATCCCTTTGCAAACAACCTTCCTCCCATCTTCTCTCCTGGCAAGGCTATTTTTGTCCCTTCAGGAAACCTTCTGTGCTGCCTGTGGAGACAGGCTCCCCTTAGTCTGTCTGTTCATCCACTCAGCATACCTCACTTTATGTTCTGATTTGACTGTGGCTTCCAGGCAGCCTTGAACTCCTCAGCAGGTAACATGTTCTAAAGTCACACACATTCTCAGCCTCATGCACACAGTCAGGTGCCATCAATGCCTGATGAGCAATAGGTGATGTTTACTCTTTGCTCATTACCACCAAAAGCATTGGGAGTGAAGATCAACATGGAACATGAGTGACTGTTGACTTCTTTATTCCTCAGAACTTACTTAAGTTCTTTGCATGAAACAATTATCAGTCACTTTAAGGATGCTTTTGTTATATAAACACAATTAATATAACAAAATTTACCATTTTAACCATCATTAAACACACATTTTTGGTGGCTTCAGCACATTCGCTCACCACTGTCCAGCTCTAGAACTTTTTCTTCATCTTACAGGGAAGTGTCATTCCAGCTGGATAATAGCTTCGTATTCCCCTCACCCCCAGCCACAGAATCTCTTCCTTCTTGGCTAGCCTTGGTACCTCATGTAAGGGAAATCACTCTTTTTGTCACAACTTATTTCACTGAGCATGTCTTTGAGGTGCATCTATGATTTATGTTGTATATATTAGAATATCCTTTCTTTTAACACACACACACTTCGTGTTTGTCCATTTTTCTGCTGATGGACATTTGGGTTGTTTCCCTTTCTGGATTATGAGGAAAAGTGTGAACGTGTCCTGTCATTCAACTTCTACTAAAAACAGAAGCACTTAATCTTGTGGTAAGGTTACTTTTAGAGTTTAGAAACATTTTAAGTATATTTGGAACAGTCATTTTGAATCAGACAAACAAAAAAGTCACCTTAAGGTAGGAGGTGACATGGAAAGATGGCCTGAGATTTCTTGTTTTTGTGACGTGTGTGATGATGCTTGGTGACATGAAATGACTTGTTTTAAATATGTTTTTTTGTTTGTTTGTTTGTTTTACAGCATCAAACTTCTAGCTGTGCAAGAACTGCTTGACAAAGAAGCCCTGGAAAAGGTAAATATTTTGTTTTTCTGCCACGCAGGAAGACTTCTGCTCCCAAGAAATGCTGACCAGAGGCAGCACTTTCCATGGAAGCGGTCTGCTTCTTTCTATTCTCCATGGGCAGTGAGCCATGCAGACTTCCATTCAAAGCTCCCAGTCCTCAGACTCTGTGCACGCTTGGAGGCCGAAGCTCTGTTCCTCCAAGCTCTGAGGTAGTGGGGGTTTGCTCATCACAAGCCAGGCCACACTCTGTAGAAGGTTTCCTCTGCTTCTAAGCAGCAGGAGCAAGAGACTGGCCGCACACCAGGCTTCAAGTCTCTTGGTTCCACGTTTGACTATCTGAGTGTGTAGATGAAGAAATTGAGGGCCAGACACACTTGCTAACTAGCCCAAGGCCAACTCAGTGGAAAAGTGAGGATTTGAATCCACATTCCTAAAACGATGCTTTTGCTGTTTAATTAACGTGGTTGTGAAAATGTTCTTTTACTGTTTTTCCCATCTATTTATTTATTTAATCATTTTACATCTTGATCTCAGCCCCTTCCCTCATCTCCTCTCAGTCTCACTCCCACACCCCCCTCCTTCCATTACCCTCTCTCCATCCTTCCAGAGAAGGGGAGGCCCCCAATTGATATCAGTCCAGCTTGGCATCTCAAATCACAGCAGGACTAAACACATCCTCTCCCACCAGGGAGTGACAAGGCAGCTCTTCTAGAGGAAAGTGATCCAGCGGTAGATAACAGAGTTAGAGAGCCCCTGCTCCAATTCTTAGGGGATCTACATGATGACCAAGCTGCACATCTGCTACATATGTGTAGGGGGTCTAGGATCAGTCCATGCATGCTCTTTGGTTGGTGATTAAGTCTGTGTGAGCCCCCATTGGTCCAGGTTAGATTACTTTGTATGTCTTCTTGTGGTGCCCTTGGCCCCTCTGGCTCCCTCCATCCTTCCTACTACTCTTCCACAGTGCTCCCCAAGCTCAGCTCTTTTCTTGGTTTTGAGTCTCTGCATCTGTCTCCATTAGCTGCTAGACAGAGCCTCTCAGAAGACAGTTATGCTAGACTCCTGTCTGCATAGCAGAGTATCATTAATAGTGACAGTGATGGGCCCTCTCCCGTGGGATGGGCCTCAAGCCATGGGCCAGGCACTGGTTTGCTATTCCCTCAATCTCTGTTCCATCCTTACTCCTATACTTCTTGTAGACAAGACACATTTTGGCTCTATTGTAGAAAATATTTTTTTAAAAAAAGAAGCTGTTGTGTTATATAATGTTTATTATTATTGTTAGCCCTATGATTATCACAGCAATATTATCTAACCCGGTATCACAAATAATAAGATGCAGATACATGTTAGATTTATAATTGCCTTATGTACCTTAGGCTGGGAAGATATTTCACTTACACTGTCTCAATTACCTCACCTTCCCTCTCCCAGCCCTCATCCTCATCTGGACTATCTTCTATCCATAATCTTACGAATACCTGCTTTTATTCTTCATCTGGGCTTTTCCAACCCTATTATTGGAGTCCTTCCTCCCAGTTCACGTGTTTCCTTCTCTACACTAACCCATCGTGGCCTCCTCCTTCCTTCTTTCTTCCCATTCATTAGTCTCTCGTAATTTTTCTTTCCTCTCCAAGCCTGGGAACCTTAACCATGCATACCCCATTCTGCCCTGCCCAGGTATAGGCCTTTTAATCAACCAATCAGGTATGTCTTAGGCAGGTTTACAAAACAAGGATAGGTGTAACCAGATCTTGAGGGCCAGTAACATATATCAGAACAGCTTCCAACATAGGTCCAAGGTTTTTGTAACCAGATCTTGAGGGCCAGTAACACGTATCAGAACAGCTTCCAACATGGGTCCAAGGTTTTATGTGTTGGTTAGTGTCCTCTCCCTCCACTAGGAGTCCCACCTTGCCACAGGTGGTGCTGACTCCTTAACACCCATTGCTTGGAGTCTCAACTAGGGTCAGCCTCAGAAACTCCCAGGACCCTAGCTGTGACAGTGTTTTAGGCTGTTGCTGAAGACTGGGTAATAACCTCCACACCAGTGCTATGGAACTGATGTCTTTTACTTGTGAATTCTAACTCTGGACGTAAAGTGGAATGGGTTTAGCAATGCAGGCTAGGCAGGTACTAAGGAGGTTGGGCCCTGAATGCCATTGTGGGAGCTAGTGTATACTGCCTGGGCAAGCTCAGGACTTATCCTATGAATGTAGCTGCAGGTGCTGACTGTACTCTGTAGGTTGACATAAATGTCTAAGTGGTTAGAGAGATTCACTAGTACTTGTTTTAGAAACTTAAAATACTTGGGCTGGTGCTCAGTTTCTTGGGACTAAAGTGGAGAAGGTTTTTAAGGACATCAAGCAGTGCTGTGAGTGATGGGAAGTGGCTTGAGCTCTGAAGCTCCACTCGGCCTCCTTTCTATGAGAAATGAAACAAGGATAGTGCTTCTGATGGACTATCAATATGTGAGGCAAATGAGTTAATGTAGGTAGCCAGATGGCTCTTTGGATGCCAAAGCACTCTGCTCATATCAATTCTTAATTATTCATATCAGTGCTTCATATATATCTAGCTATTAAAACATGCTATGATGACTATAAAAGCTATCAATGGGACAAATGACAGCCTTGATGGTAGATGCTAGATTAGATGATGGTACAAAATTAACCATAATGTTTCATGAAGCCGATGACTTGTTTGTGATCATGTAAGAGAATGGCCTGGTCCTCAGAAATCACAGAAAGGAATATAGGAACGAATCTTGCCACTCATTCTGAAAAGGTTGCAAAGACAGTGGAGAGAACGAAGGAGAGAAGAAGAGGTAGAGAGAGGGAGAAGGAGGGATCTATCTATCTATCTATCTATCTATCTATCTAATGTGTGTATGTATATATATACATATATATATAAAACACACAAATTTGATATGGGATATTATGGGATATGGGATATTAGATACATATATGGGAGAGAGAGGGAGAATGAGAGAGAGAGTGAGAAAAAGAGAAGATAGGCAGATGGTGCAAAATAACCATTGAAACTTCTGTGAGTTCTGAGATTTCTTTTGTATGTATTTGAAAGACTCACCCCATTTTTTATTTGTACCAGTACTCACTGCAGTTATTTGTTTTACTTCCTGATTTTGAAGAGTTAGAAAAAAATTATTACCATGGTGCTTCCAAACCCAGCAAATCAGTATAATAAAAATACAGGCGCCCAAAATACCAACTATGTCTTTGAAGTAGTTACTGTCCAATTTAGAGAAGCCACACAGCCAGGGCAATTCAAGGGACCAAAGCTCGCAAAATGGATCAGAGAGGTGGCGTCGGACTTGCTGTGGCTGGCTGCCAGCCAGTGATCCATTGTGCCACTCTGAGAACCAAGCTTCTATGGCTCTGCTCCAAAGCCTGCCTTCTCCTTCCTTCCTGAGTTATCTTGGGTTACTTATCCTCTGTGCTTCAGGTTTCCAGCTGTAAGATGAAAACCATAATCCTCAATTCACAAAGGTTTAAAAGAGAGTTAAGTGGACAGTCTGGGTAAAGGTGCTTAGGAGGACATCTGGGTCTCAGTGATCTCCACAAGTTAGCATCTCTATATATTGCTTCCCTTGTTCCATCCACCTCCAGCTGTCTTCCTCCACCTCCTGACCGTTCTCACTTTCTGTAAGCCTGATGGTGGGTTTGCATCATCCCGTCTCAACAGATGACCAGCAGAAAGCTGTATAGGACGATTGAAATCTATGTAGAGACAGGTGCTGGAGAGCCAAGAATTTGCAGTTCTGCTGCTCTCTTCTGTGCAGTTGTCTGCTCATTCACCCATTCATTCCAAAAGTGTTGAGGTTTCTGCATGCTAGGCAACTTGTAAACATTTTTAGAAGTGCCTGAAAGCAGCCAGTGGTTGTGCACTTGGTATCCAGTTATATTCTGAGTTACACATGATATGTGGCCTGGATTAGTACTTCTTTGTTTCGTTTTCTTTTGTTTGTTTTTGTGTGTATGTGTGTGTGGTTTTTTGTTTTGTTTTGTTTTGTTTTTCAGTAAGATTGGTTCATTGAGTTGTTGAAATAAGATATGTTCCCTGAAGAGCCTCACAGATGATATTTCCCCTTCCACTTGGGCAGGCTGGAAAGCCACTGAGCAAAGTCCCTGGTAAACCATTCAGCTTTGCTATTCAGTGCATTGTCCCTGGGCCAGTAGCTCTGGAAGCTCATTAGAACTGCAGAACTCTGACTTTTGGCTCAGATCCACTCAACCACAGCCACATCTGCAGAGAGCCCAGGTGACTGGTGCACACCAAAGTCCAAGAACTGTTCAGGAAAGGCCCGTTTACTGTTACCACAGTGATTATTGGGTAGCCTGTAACAGTCACAAACCTATTAGAATGCAAAAAATTTACTTCTGTGTCCAGTGAAGCTTCTTTGGGAGGTGTATGTGTGGGGCAACCAAAAAGAAGCAGATACCATTATTCTATTTGTAGATCTCTGTGTGTGTGGCGTGCACGCGAGTATACAAGCATACATACTTGTTTAGAAGCCAGAGAAGAATTGGGGAGGTGACTTTCTCTGCTGCTGTCTGCATTATTGCCTTGAGACAGAGGCTCTCACCGAATCAGAAGCTCACTCTTTCTGCTAGTCTGGCCCAGCAAGCTCCTGGTATTTGCCTGTCTTTGTTGTAGTGCTGGGGTCACGGATATGTACAACTATGTCTGGTGTCTTAGTTCAAGTGTCACTGCTGTGAATAGATGCCGTGACCATGACAACTCTTATAAAGAAAAATACGTAATTGGTCCTGGCTTACAGGTTCAGAGGTTTAGTCCATTATTGGCATGAGGAGAAGCGTGGTGGCATACAGGCAGACATGGTGCTGGAGAGGTAGCTGAGAGTTCCACATCTGGATCCACAGGCAGCAAGAAGAGAAAGTGACACCAGGCCTGGCTCGAGCTTCTGAAACCTCAAAGCCCACCCTCTGTTACACCACACTCATCCAGTAAGGTCACACCTACTT